AATTTGTTATCGCTAATGTCGAAAACCGTGGCGCTCTTCAGGAGTGTTATTTCTTCAGGCAAGCAACCCGAGAGTGCATTGTTCGACAAAAGGATTTCATCCAATGTGTTCGCCATTTTGCCAATGCTCTTCGGAATACAACCATGGAATTTGTTGTTGGACAAAACCAGCACTGAAACAGTGGAATTTCCAAAATTTTCAGGGATGGTTGAGTGGAACCGGTTGTCATTCAAGAAAAGTGCGTCAAGTGGCTTATTGAAGAGTTGGGGAGGCAATTGTCCTTCGAAATCATTGTACCTAAGGTCGAGGTATTTTAGAGATGGTAACTCTAAGACAACCTCGGGGAAAGGTCCAACAAAACGATTGTTGCTAACATCAAGTTCAAAGAGAAGGGTCAGCTTCGCAATGCTTTTTGGAATGATCCCACAAAACCTATTGGAATTAAGGTGGAGAAGGCTAATGTCCACCAAGTGACCAATCTCGATAGGTAGGTGTCCTGCAATGTCCGCATGGTTCAAGTCGACCCCAGCGACGACAGACTGTTTAGGATTGTCGAGCGCTTGTGCACAGAACACACCATTGTAGGCGCACACATTAGCACCCTCCCAATTAGCTGTAAAGTTCTGTGGATCCGAGTAAATAGCTTTCTTAAACGCCTGAAGGGCAATGTAGGCTTTCTTGAGCCTTGGATTGGCAAATGTTAAACGAGCATCAATCTCGTATTCGGATTCGTTAGGAAGGCTATCATCATCTGGGTGGTGCAACAGCTGACGGCGTGCTATATAAGCCGCCTCAGCATCTGTTAAAGCTGAAGAAAAGGACGAGAAAAGTGAAAGAAAAACGACAAGAAAGCAGCCAAAGGCATTCATTTTTGATGGGTTAGCCATGATTGACCCCCTTGGACAAACCCAAGGCCGCTTATAGTTATCATCTGCAGGAAGAAATGAGGGTGTTATATGGAGATGCCAATCAAACTTCTGCGGATTCGGAGGGCTCTAACGAATTTCAGACACTAATTTGGGGGTCTCTGCTTGGATTTAGGCAAGTTTTTCTCCATGGAACAACATGGGAAATTGCTAAAAATAGGCTTACAGTAATCACCATCCAAACATGAAAAAAAAGATATTCGCAAGTCAAAATGTTAATATTTTGACAAGGAGATCTGTGCTCGACTGGAAAGCTTCGGCTGCTTCAGGGTTCCTTTTACCCATTGTCTTTCAAACTACGGAAACTTCCATGTGCAAACTGCGACATGGTATCAGCATTTTAACACAAAAATGTCTCTCAGTTCAAAACAATCACGTTGGTGAATTGGTATGGTCAATTCAATTTATAATTAAGTTCGTCTCATTTTCAACTATATTATATATTTTTACATTGTTCTATAATTTTTCCCACTTTTTAACCGCATATTCTCTTAAATAAATCACTTTTAAAAAAGTAACTCTTAACTAAAGTTGATCTAGTTAGCACGGAGACCGTCTAAACTATTCTCCAAAGTGCTTGACCACAAGCCAGAATAGGCATTCAAGATGTAAATCAAACTCACTGCTCAAACAAACTCAATTTGTTCAATAAGCCACATCTTTTATACATATATTAACATATCTTTTGAGTTATATTTATACCACTGACGACAAAATTCGATGCAAAAACTCCATTTACAATCTTGTTGAAGAGGTCACAAATTGTTCAAACAACTACTAGGTACATTTTCACAAAGGATCATGAATCAGGATGAGCCGATAATCATCATCAATCTGTCTCGTGATCAGGCACTGGAGAATACCAAGCCGGGTATCGTCCTCTGGCTCTAAGCAATCTTGTGAAGGGCGAATCCGGCATTCTAGCTTTCTCCTCTTCCTCGAGCTCGTCGAACGTCTTGGGCAAACCATCCGGGATCGGACAAGGCACCGTGTCTGTATTTTTTGCAGTCGCGTGCTTCAGCGACTCCTTGCATTCCTTCTTTGCTTTGTGAATTTCTGCAACTCCATGTAAACATCCAACTAGAGATTTTACACCACCAGCTTCAATAATTAGTCTTTCTAACTCCTCCTTTGGGACCTCTTCCTGATGAATACCATAATAGCCAAAACATATTAGTTTTTGAATCCAATAGGTTTTGTGTTACAATCTTAAAATATTTATAATAAAAGATGAATTCATTCATCGCATAAACTTCTTGGTATAAGCAAGAAATTTATGCTATGAGTGATTAGACACTACTATAAACGAAATTTTAAATTCTTTTTCGACCTGCAATAGTTTAGACGTAGCTTAAAAGTCATTTATCTAGGAATTATAGAGACGTACTTTTTGGCAAAAAGGCAAGAAAAAAGACTTGACTTTTTAAGCCCAACAAAACATCCCTAAAGAACATCTCATTAAACAAGCCATAAATATGGTTTAAAACTACTTTTTCTTGGACATATGTCTAAAAGATTCTATTCATCTCATCAAATTTAGAACTTACTTCAAGTTGTTTGAGCTCAAAATATGCCCTCCAGCAGCTATAAGAATCATCCCCTTCAAGCGTTGAACAATAATCTAAACATCCATCACACAAAAGAAATTAAGTCGATTATTAGAGCCAAAGAAAGAGATTTAAATACTTTTATAAAACATCATTAATTCAAAAGGCTCCAAGAATTTTATAAAAATAAGAAAAAAAACTTGCCTGCGAGTTGGGTTTCTGATTTCTGAATCAAAGGGGGTTCTTTAAAAGCTCTATCAATTTTGCTTCTGCTAAACGGCTCCAGCTTGGGTATATAAGCATTGTTTCTTGAAGAACAACGAATGGTTCTTGAACTTGAACTTGAACTTGACAAATTAACAAGAAAACTGCTTAAAGATGAAGAAGAATCGAAAGGCACTGTTTGAATCATCTGTTTGTTTCTGCAATAGTTGATTTCAGAGAAGAGTAATGCTAATGCACTTATTGTTTCGGGTTTTTATTTATAAAGAAAAGAAATGATGAGTTTCAATATGTCATTGGATAAGGATGAAATATTTACGTGCTATATAAGCCGCCTCAGCATCTGTTAAAGCTGAAGAAAAGGACGAGAAAAATGAAAGAAAAACGACAAGAAAGCAGCCAAAGGCATTCATTTTTGATGGGTTAGCCATGATTGACCCCCTTGGACAAACCCAAGGCCGCTTATAGTTATCATCTTCAGGAAGAAATGAGGGTGTTATATGGAGATACCAATCAAACTTCTGCGGATTTGGAGGGCTCTAACGAATTTCAGACACAAAATTTGGGGGTCTCTGCTTGGATTTAGGCAAGTTTTTCTCCATGGAACAACATGGGAAATTGCTAAAAATAGGGTTACAGTAATCACCATCCAAACATGAAAAAAAAGATATTCGCAAGTCAAAATGTTAATATTTTGACAAGGAGATCTGTGCTCGACTGGAAAGCTTCGGCTGCTTCAGGGTTTCTTTTACTCATTGTCTTTCAAACTACGGAAACTTCCATGTGCAAACAGCGCCATGGTATAAGCATTTTAACACAAAAATGTCTCTCAGTTCAAAACAGTCACGTTGGTGAATTGGTATGGTCAATTCAATTTATAATTAAGTTCTTGTCTCATTTTCAACTATATTATGGCCCCGTTTGTTTATCATTTTGATAAGAATGAGAATGAAAAATATAACCGTTATGGATCCCATACAATAGATAGAAATTTAAATTTGGTGGTTTGATGCGATAAATAACGGTCATATTTTTCATTTTAATGGAGAAATAAAGGGAAACAAACAAGGACTATATATTTTCAAAAAGAAATCACTTTTAAAAAAAGTAACTCTTAACTAAAGTTGATCTAGTTAGCACCGAGTCACAATGGACCGTCTAAACTATTCTCCAAAGTGCTTGACCACAAGTCAGAATAGGCATTCAAGATGTAAATCAAGCTCATTGCTAAAACAAACTCAATTTGTTCAATAAGCCACATCTTTTATACATATATTAACATATCTTTTGAGTTATATTATACCACTAACACGACAAAGTTCGATGCAAAAACTCTATTTACAATCTTGTTGAAGAGGTCACAAATTGTTCAAACTACTAGGTACATTTTCACAAAGGATCATGAATCAGGATGAGCCGATAATCATCATCAATCTGTCTCGTGATCAGGCACTGGAGAATACCAAGCCGGGTATCGTCCTCTAGCTCTAAGCAATCTTGTGAAGGGCGAATCCGGCATTCTAGCTTTCTCCTCTTCCTCGAGCTCGTCGAACGTCTTGGGCAAACCATCCGGGATCGGACAAGGCACCGTGTCTGCATTTTTTGCAGTCGCGTGCTTCAGCGACTCCTTGCATTCCTTCTTTGCTTTGTGAATTTCTGCAACTCCATGTAAACATCCAACTAGAGATTTTACACCACCAGCTTCAATAATTAGTCTTTCTAACTCCTCCTTTGGGACTTCTTCCTGATGAATACCATAATAGCCAAAACACATTAGTTTTTGAATCCAATAGGTTTTGTGTTACAATCTTAAAATATTTATAATAAAAGATGAATTCATCGCATAAACTTCTTGCTTATATTTATTGAATTTTGCAAAAACTACCAAGAAATTTATGCTATGAGTGATTAGACACTACTATAAACGAAATTTTAAATTCTTTTTCGACCTGCAATAGTTTAGAAGTAGCTTAAAAGTTACTTATCTTGGAATTATAGAGACATACTTACTGGAAAAAAGGAAAGAAAAAAGACTTGACTTTTTAAGCCCAACAAAACATCCCTAAAGAACATCTCATTAAACAAGCCATAAATATGGTTTAAAACTACTTTTTCTTGGACATATGTCTAAAAGATTCTATTCATCTCATCAAATTTAGAACTTACTTCAAGTTGTTTGAGCTCAAAATATGCCCTCCAGCAGCTATAAGATTCATCCCCTTCAAGCGTTGAACAATAATCTAAACACCCATCACCAAAAGAAATTAACTCGATCATTAGAGCCAAAGACAGAGATTTGAATACTTTCATAAGACATCATTAATTCAAAATGGTCCAAGATTTATCACCACAAAAAAAAAAAAAAAAAAGGATAGAGAGAACTTGCCTGCAAGTTGGGTTTCTGATTTCTGAATCAAAGGGGGTTCTTTAAAAGCTCTATCAATTTTGCTTCTGCTAAACGGCTCCAGCTTGGGTATATAAGCATTGTTTCTTGAAGAACAACGAATGGTTCTTGAACTTGAACTTGATCTTGACCAATTAACAAGAAAACTGCTTAAAGATGAAGAAGAATCGAAAGGCACTGTTTGAATCATCTGTTTGTTTCTGCAATAGTTGATTTCAGAGAAGAGTAATGCTAATGCACTTATTGTTTCGGGTTTTTATTTATAAAGAAATGATGAGTTTCAATATGTCATTGGATAAGGATGAGATATTTTTAATTATTTTTTGTAATTGTTGTGAGATAATCTAACAGACAGTTGAATTATTTAATTTGGTTTTTTGTGACGGATGAATCCTTGTGGGACCGTAGAACGAGTCGTAGATGGGAAAAGTAGGACGCGGCGTAGGGATTGGAGGGAAAACTGCGGGCTTCGTTTCGCAAAACCAGGGAGTGGTGAGGGCTGTTATAATTGAATTGAAATAGTATAGCTTTTAAGATATTTTGTTTCTGTCTTGCCCTTTTCGATTGAATATTTTATTGGCTAAAAGAAATTTCATTTTCAAAATTTCAGTCCCTTCTTCGTTCATGATCCGCTAAGTTGTTTATTATGGACAAGTCAATACAAGACGTAGCGTGTGTGCTTTGCACAATTCATTACAATAATGTAAAGAATATTATTTAAGAGATAAGGAATGTCGGTTATGAATATTTTATAAAATTTCTGTTTGTTTTTCATTCTTTCCCCCATTAAAATGAAAAATATAATCTTTATCCATCACATCAAGTTATTAAATTTGAATTTATATCTATTGTGTGGGGTTCATAACGACTATATTGTTTATTCTCAAAACTTTTATTAACAGATCGATTTTGAATGATTTTATTAGCAATTTTTAAAAAAATCTAAGTTATGATTGGATGATTTTACAATCGGTTTTTAATTTATAATTTCTTATATGATTTTTGTCTCATATATAATATTTTACTTATAAGTACTTTTTTTGCATATAAGATGCTATGCACTATAAAACTTATAAAATTAAATATTTACTTAAAATGTAAGTTAAGCCTCGTTATGCATCCATTTTTTTTAAAATGTATTTTTCTCTCTCTTTTTTTAACCACACATTTTTTATTAAAATAATATTACACGTAAATAAAAAAAATTCTTTATTTTTCGACCACATATTTTTCATCAATTTACTATTTTTACATAAAAATGGCTCACAAACACCCCCTTAGTAAATTTTATAATTATAAGTTAATTTTGTACTTTTAAATAGTTTTACATAAGGGAATTTTTTACTTGTAATTAATTTTTAATATTTTACAAATGAATTGTTGTTATTAGTAGTTATATAAATAAATTTTTACACAAAAGTGATCTATTATCTGATAAGTAATTCTTTACTAACAATAAATAAATTGTTTTGCTTATAAATAATTTAGTTAGTCAATGTATTTTAATTTACAAGTTAGTTTTAAACAAAATATGCTGGTTGAAAATAATTATTTTATATAGGAAAAAATTAGAAGATAATATGAGCGAAGTGGCCAAAAACCCACCAAATCGATTGAGAAAAATAGTCAAAATTACACTACATCAATTTTGAGTGATTTTTAAATGATTCAAAATTAGCGCCTAGAAACATTATCGAGCACCGATTATTTCAATCTCTTATAAATGGCGTTAACCAAAATCGGTCAAAAGCAATGAGAAAAAACTCCCAAGCAATATGCACGCCTTTTATTTGCATTCAAAATTTTGAGAGTATAAAGTGACTATAGTTGAGATGGAATGATAGTGAGAGAGAGGGAGGGAAAAAACGCAGAGTAAGAATTTGTTAGCAAAACCACATCGAAATGAGTGCCCTACTTTCTTTGGGAAGATATGATTAAGAGAAATTATCGAGTTTTCATAAATTGTCATGCTTTCAATTGAAATTTGGGTGTGTTTCATAAGTAGGAAATTCCATGGAAAATGAACTTGTAATTCCATCTTTTCAGTTTTTTTATGTCTGATTGACAAAAATTTTCTTGGAATTCATTTTCCGCTTGTTGATACCACATAAACATTTTCCTTCTTTTTGGGAAAAAATGAATTTCATTTTCCCAGATTACTGTAGCAATTTTTTTCGTTTATTTTTTATTTTTTTGGCAATGAAAACAAATTTTAAGAATAATTGTAAAATTTTTTCCCTTTAATTGACAATTTCCATGTAAAATAAAATCAAACGAACACCAAAAGATAGATGATTTTCTTGAAATTTTTTTTTTGGTTGGCAATGAAAACAAATTTCATCCTCAATACCAATAAAATATATCCCATTAATTGATAATTTTTATATAAAACAAAGTTAAATGAACACAAAAAAAATACTTTTATTTCAACATTTTTTTACTTGAAAAATTATACCAGTTAAATACAATTATTTACAATTTCAAAGAAAATAATTTTTAGGCAATTCAATTCCTTAAAATTCGTTTTCAATTCAATTTCAGGTTTGTAACCAAACGACCCTTAGAAACAAATTAATCATTACTCTTCTGAGTAAGCAAGCTCTATACCCTTCGAAGATGGCCCATACGAGGTTCCTACTTCATATTTTTTTAACTCTTGTTCCGCTACTTTGTTTGCATTATAGATAAAGGTAGATATTATTCTAATTACATATTTGTATTATTTTGAAAATGATATCAGTTATGCATTTGGATTCAATATCTTTGAAATAATTCTCAAACTCACTATTGTGTTTTGAATCGATCTGATTTAATTGCATTAGTAGCTAAATGTTAAATAATTATTTCTGATGATGTTTTGTGGGATATCTAAGCTCACGTTTGGTAGAATTTAAAATCTAAATTTTAATCTAAGTTAGTCAATAATTAATTTTAGCAACATAATGTATGGATCCCACAACATTCTATTCGAATAATGCTAATTGCAATCACTCACTATCATCGCAATATATCAAATTACTACCATCATATGTATGACATGTAGAACGACTACGATAAGAAGTGACTGCAAAGTTCTCTCATTTCAACCAACTTCTTAGAGCAATATGTCTCCAACTTCTCTCTTTTTTTTTTATTTTTTATTTTTTTAAAACCAACATCGACATATCTTTAATTAGCAAAGTTCATCCCTACTGATCTGTCCAAAAATTATAGTATGTTGGTATAAAAAGATAACTTTATGCTTCAATATTAAATAAACAATAAAATGACAATTTCGATATAAAGGAAAACTATATGAAAGTTAGCGGAGTTTGGCCCTACCAATGTTGGGATGTTGAAATTGGCACTAGAAATCACGACAATCAACGTGTGCCAGAGTGGCGACAACGATTCCCGGTTGCTTAGTAAACTTTAGATGAACTTAATTTTGTAATGAAGCAACAATGGGGTCATTTATTAGGTATGGGTGTGAGAGGTATAACTGAGTCCTCATACACCGTAGCAAATCTCTATAAAAACACACACGTGCACACTTGTATTAAGGAAGCAATAAGAAGAAGAAGAACATAAGTAAAACCTGACAATTTCCAGGAGGTGAAGAAATGCGACTCCTCTTCTAATAGAAAATTGCACAATATGTCATCTACTTATTATTAACAAAATTTTCTTCAACCTATTTTCAGAAAAATGTAAATAATCTCTAACTTTTCATTATGATTGTATTAGGTTTCTCTATAAAAACACACACGTGCACACTTGTATTAAGGAAGCAATAAGAAGAAGAAGAACATAAGTAAAACCTGACAATTTCCAGGAGGTGAAGAAATGCGACTCCTCTTCTAATAGAAAATTGCACAATATGTCATCTACTTATTATTAACAAAATTTTCTTCAACCTATTTTCAGAAAAATGTAAATAATCTCTAACTTTTCATTATGATTGTATTAGGTTGGGTTGGGTTGTGTGTCCATATAGTATATATTGCTACGATAAAATAAAATTTTATAAAAATAAATTGTAACTTTGTTTGTTTGTTGCATTTATGAGCATGCGAACTAAATTGATTATGTTTGCTAGTAATAATATAAGTTAGGTATTTTTATTGAGAAGTACAGTGTGATACAACTTTTATTTTGATAATCAGTAATTTGTTCACGAACAACATATAAAGTTCGATATCTTGTATTGAAAAGTTGTAGTGCTAATCGATTAACTGTTTGAATCGGTGCTAAGCACCAATTTAGGTGGCAGGTAAGATGACATGGAAATGAGTCACATATAAAGATGATTTATCATTTGTATGTCATATAAACTGATGCTTTATAACATTCTTCTTAATCAAAAGTTTCAATAAGTTTGAAGTTTAAGATCAAGCGAAATAAAGAACGGGAATTCGTGTTAGGAACGTCACCCCGAAGCTTAAATATTTTATGTTGAATGGTAATAAATTTGAGCTCAATGTTTTAGCGTGAGATCAACTTTGACGTATACGATTGGTTCACGGGGATCGTTCAAGAAAATAAAACTTAAGTTAACAGGAATAATTAAATGGGTGAAAATGGTCATTTAGGCTCTTACCTAGTTATCGAATATCGAATGAGGATAAAATACATATACGACTAATTAGATGATAGTATTGCATGTATGTATACATTAGTTTTCGTGATCTAATATATTTCAAAAATGCAATCTTATGCTATAGGAATTAAAAAAAAAAAAAAAAGACTAATAATTAGATTATGCTTTCTTGTTTGTCTAGATATGATCTAATTGTTGGAGCTTGAATAACATATATGGTGTCAAATTTTGTAATATATGAAGAGAATTAGATTGTCGAACCCACGTGGATTGATATATATAATTCCTACTAAATACTATGATTATTTTAACTTTTACCTTGTCTAGAAAATCAAGTTAAAGTGGATGTTTCGATACTAACCTAATGTGGATGTGGTGGCGGTTCAAGTAAAATAAGGCAAATTGTAAGAGATTTATCAATGTAAGAAATCTCATGGAATGATTTCACCACACTATCAACAATATTTTTCAATTTTTATATATTTCTATCAATTTTTCCTAAGTTTATGGACAAGAACCTTAGATTAATCTTGTTAATTCTCTCGAGTGTCAAATAGAACTTATCTCTATCTTTTAATTCTAATATCTCTATTTCGAATTAAAAATATAGAAATTATCAAGTACGTTGTTCTTATATGGGATAAGGCTCAAATATTTCATTTTTTTTTCGAAACTCACAAAATCTCGATTACATTATTCTTAGATCACGCCTAAATCTCACT